ATGACTTTTGAAGCCTTTGCCAGGAATGTATCTGTGAATCTAGACAGTTGTCACAAAGTGTAGAACTTCAAATATTAACGCTATTAGCTCCAAAGCTCAGTATTAACATTTGGTAAACGATTTAGGTGTGCGAGTCCTTTACGATCCGGTACAATCCGGTACGATCCGGTCTACTTACTGTGCAGAAAGCGTATAAGTGAGCGTCCTTCCCCTTGGAATATCGAGGATGATTGATTGCATATCACAATAAACAAACATGCCATAAAAAACCTCGAAATTAATGGGTCAATGGGAACAGGATACCAGAAAGAAACGGGAATCTATTGATAAACAAACATGAAGAAATAAAGTAAATATAATTTGATTCATTAGGTATTGTTAATTGTTTAAAGTTGATTAAATAATCGCGACTGTAATTGAATCAATTATATCATCTGCCGTTCGAGGTTGCTTTTTTTTTTACCGGGTGTTGATTTAAACTCCTTAAACGATAACTTACTTCCAACACGTTACAATAACCTAAACATACGTAAGCAAATATCAGGTCCCTGTGATCACTATAGGTCTATATGAAACTACTTATTGTCTACAAAAAAATAACAAATTCTCGTGGCCCTGCGATCATGATTAGGTCTAAATATAACTATTGTAGCAAATTTTCATGTCCCTGCGATCATGATTAGACTATTGTAGCAAATTCTCATGTCCCTGTGATCATAATTAGGTCTAAATTTAACTATCATTTGTTCTGTGTGGATTCCAATCGGGAACCGTCGGCACTTTCCGTAAACGAGAAAAATACCTCGGATATTTTCTCGTTTACGGAAAGTGCCGACGGTTCCCGATTGATTTGATTCATTTAAAGGCGGATCCAGGGCAAGGTATTGGTATGGGAAATAATTAGAAGGGTACAAAAAACAGGGACTGGATAATTTGTTACAGCTATATTTGAATCTAAACTAAGGTGTCAAGGGTTTAGATAAACTTTCGGTAAAAATGCTGCCTCCAATGATGATATATATATAGCTGTAATAAATTTTCAGGTTCCTGTGGAAACAACAATCAGTGATTTGTTTTTATTTGGGGTTTTTTATGTTTAAATTTTTTACTTGGATTTACATGCGTAGCAGCGTATAGACAGCTATATATGCGTATGACTAAATCAAATTATCATGTTCCTGTGATCACGATTAGGTCCAAATATAACTAGTATAACAAATTATCATGTCCCTGTGATCACGATTAGGTCCAAATATAACTAGTATAACAAATGTTCATGTCCCTGTGATCACGATTAGGTCCAAATATATAACTAGTATTATACATTCTTATATCCCTAATGTCGCCAACACTATTAATTATCACTTTCATCCTCGGTATGATCACATGATAGTAATTATAATGTTTAGATCGATGCAGTAATTACTCGTTCGATCGATCTGTCTGTATACACAAATCTTGCAAATACATGTACATATATAAGTTTTTACCTCAATAGAAAAACCTTGGATAGCCACTCAAATCGAGGTCTCTTTAAAGTTTGAATTACACGTACATTGAACGCAATATCATACGTGAACGATCGCGCTAGATACGACATACCTTTCCGTTTCTGACAAGCATTTTGATAATACACTTTATTCAGATCTCAGGTATTACGGTAACTAATTTAAATATTAAATCATTCAAATCAACATGTTTTCAGCTGTCTGACGCCTGGTTAAAAATATTTTGATACCTGTACAGATATACTGTCACACAGATAGAAAACCTTTTTCAATCTTTTCAAAATTGAAATTGAGACGGACGAGTATGGGAAATTTTGCGTAATGTATTTTTATGCAAAAGGTGAGACAGAAGACCAACGCTGGAATAAAGACCACCACTGATGTGGTTATAGAACGTGGTATACTGTAGCCGCTATAGACAGGTTATGTTTACAGATATGCGGTCGTTATAGACAGGTACTATTTACATACATTACATCGTCGTAGGTACTTACAACTATATGAAGGTGGTCGTTATAAACAGGAAGTAGTTACACGCATTACATCATCGTAGACAGTTACACCTATAGACAGGTGGTAGTTATAGACAGGTGGTAGTTATAGACAGGTGGGAGTTAAAGACAGGTGGTAGCTATAGACAGGTGGAAGATATAGACAGGTTGTTGATATAGACAGGTTTTTAGCTATAGACAGGTGATAGTTATAGACAGGTGGTATATAGACAGGGGTTATATATAGACAGGGGGTAGTTATAGACAGGGGGTTAGTTATAGACAGGTTGTAGCTATAGAGAGTTTTTTATTTATAGACAGGTGGTATATATAGACAGGTGTTAGTTATAGACAGGTTGTAGCTATAGACAGGTGGTAGTTATAGACAGGTTGTTGATATAGACAGGTTTTTAGCTATAGACAGGTGATAGTTATAGACAGGTGGTATATATAGACAGGTGGTAGTTATAGACAGGTGGTAGCTATAGACAGGTGGAAGATATAGACAGGTTGTTGATATAGACAGGTTTTTAGCTATCGACAGGTGGTAGTTACAGACAGGTGGTATATATATCCAGGTGGTAGTTAAAGACAGGTGGTAGCTATAGACAGGTGGAAGATATAGACAGGGGTTATATATAGACAGGGGGTAGTTATAGACAGGGGGTATTATAGACAGGGGGTAGTTATAGACATGTTGTAGCTATAGAGAGTTTTTTTAGTTATAGACAGGTGGTATATATAGACAGGTGTTAGTTATAGACAGGTTGTAGCTATAGACAGGTGGTAGTAATAGACAGGTGGTAGTTATAGACAGGTTGTTAATATAGACAGGTTTTTAGCTATAGACAGGTGATAGTTATAGACAGGTGGTATATATAGACATGTGGTAGTTATAGATAGGTGATAGCTATAGATAGGTGGTAGCTATAGACAGGTTGTTGATATAGACAGGTTTTTAGCTATCGACAGGTGGTAGTTACAGACAGGTGGTATATATAGCCAGGTGGTAGTTAAAGACAGGTGGTAGCTATAGACAGGTGATAGTTATAGACAGGTGGTATATATAGACAGGTGTTAGTTATAGACAGGTTGTAGCTATAGACAGGTTGTAGTTATAGACAGGTGGTATCTATAGACAGGTGGTAGTTATAGACAGGTGTTATATATAGACAGGTGGTAGTTATAGACAGGTTGTAGTTATAGAGTTTTTTTAGTTATAGACAGGTGGTATATATAGACAGGTGTTAGTTATAGACAGGTTGTAGCTATAGACAGGTGGTAGTTATAGACAGGTGGTAGCTATAGACAGGTGGTAGCTATAGACAGATTGTAGATATAGACAGGTGGTAGTTATAGACAGGTAGTAGTTATAGATAGGTGGTAGTTATATACAGGTGGTAGTTATAGACAGGTAGTAGTTATAGACAGGTGGTAGTTATAGACAGGTGGTAGCTATAGACAGGTGGTAACTATAGACAGATTGTAGATATAGACAGGTGGTAGTTATAGACAGGTAGTAGTTATAGACAGGTCATACAAATGTAGTCGTACAGGTGATTGTGCATGTATATAGTTTCACGGACAAAATATAAATATAGACGGTAGCTTGTTCATGCTCAATATGTATCATTAACCGCTGGTGACAGTATAAATGACAGGTGACCTCAAATTATGCATGCACCCTAAAAAAACGCACAATACTGTTGTGAGCTACACCATCCCTATATATCCACTCCCTAAGTCTTAAATAGGTTCTGAAACCGAATGGACCCTTCATCGGACGGTGACCCAATTCTCACACCCAAACGTCTGAAATATATATTAGCTAAAATTTGTTTATCAAAGTACACCAGGTGTAAACTGAAATTTAGCAGATTGTTTTTGTTGATGCGTAATATTTTGACATGCAGCATTGGTAAAGAGCCCACCAGAGGGCGACTATCAGCAGATGTTTAAGCTCGTATCGCATAAATTGACATCGAAAATAGTCCCATTTTACACAGAGCATATGGCCTGTAAAATTGTACATCAACAGTATGCATTGGTGTGCATTTTATAAAAGTGTTCACTACATACACTGTATACAATTATTCATTGTATGGAGTTGTTCGTTATATACAGTTGTTCATTGTATAGAAATGGTCATTTTGTAGAGTTGTTAACTGTACAAAGATGCTCATTATATAGTTTTTCGCTGTATAAATATGTTCATTATATACAGTTTTTCGCTGTATAAATATGTTCATTGCATACAGTTGTTCGCTGTATAAATATGTTCATTATATACAGTTGTTCACTCTATATATATGTTCATTATATATAGTTGTTCAGTGTATTGACACGTTCCTTATATACAGTTGTTTACTGTATAAATATGTTCAATATGTAGCGATGCTTATTATTGAAAACTGTACGTAATACAGATAAAGTCCAAACTAGTTTTTTACATGTAGGTCTGCATTAATTATAAGTGCTCATTATAAAGGTATTCATTTTGTAGAGGTATTCATAAGAAAGATCTGTTCACTATATATATGCAACGTAGAGGCATTGTTAAAAACTTACCATTATTTTATACTATTGGTACGAGTATGCCATAAGTATAGATGCGATGTAGTGACTGTCTGATTTTTTATGAAATAGTGCCAACATTCACAGGGACCTTGCAATTTGTTACAGCTATTTTATATTTGATCATACACTGATGTATTTCGAATAATAATACACGTTTTAGGGGTTTGAAGCAACTTTCGATAAAATAATGGGAATGACATTTTACCGAAAGTTGTTTTAAACCAATAGAACGTGTAATATTACTATAAAAACCCAAGTTTGGGTTCAAATATAACTGTAAAAATTATCAGGTCCCTGTGTCAACATGACACATCCATCATTGCTTGCACATTGAATACACAATTTTATCACCTCCTAATTATTTTTATATATTGTTTTCAAAGTATTATAATAAATAGTTACAAATTACATTTCAAATACTTACCAAACATTTGATATCACTTTCCTGCGGAACACTGTTGACATTCTGGACAACACATTGACTTGTAATAATTCCCAAAAACATCCAAGGAACATTTTTCATTTCATCTCCGATATTAGTGACAGACGTTATGAGTCATTCGGCTGACTGTTCCATAACCACAGAAATCACGTCGATATTTGTGACAAAGCTATAAGGCTGACATCGTCATTTAAAGCTGGACAGTACATGTGTTAATACACATACCGTTTTGGTACCACTCCCTGGCGTACATGTAAACACACAACTATTTCCATACGTGTTGTCATAAACTGGAAAACACTGTCATAGACACATATTTCAGTCTATAAACACGATATGTACATCAAGTTGAATCACTCTGACAAAATTGCAATATTCTGTCAACATTTATAGTGGTTTTAAACTTCACGTATATTTTTTAACTTTTTCAAACGTTGAAAGTTATTTTCTTACTGTAAGCATTTAAAATTTCTTTGCACGGTCTACTTGTATACATTAATATATATATATACTCCATATTGCTTACCTGGGCATGTCTCACCTTTACAGGTGTATCAGAGTTAGGGACGAAGACGTTGCCCAACTTTTGTTCTCAGTGAGTTATACACATACGTGATATTCTTTAGACTGGTCTCAAGTAAGACACTAATACGCCGAGATGTCAATTACAGCGCGAGGCGTGATACGAAACAGACATGTGTATTGTCGGTGACGACATGTTGTGTTTTTTCCCAGGTCAAAGGTCATGAAAAAAGAAAGGTTAAAGTTGGAATCTGCTTCTCAAAATAACACACTGTGTGAAATGAAACGAAAAAGATATTATAAGTATCATGAAATTAGTGAAAACGAATATTTTAAGGTCGAGGTTCAAACAACTTAAATTACAAATGTTTTTTGAACGCTATATGAGAACATTTAAATCTTGAAATTGATCTTATCAAAGCAAATGGTGATTGTTCAAAATCTGTTTCTAGAAAAAGGGGAACTTGTAAGAAATAACTTAAGAATTTAACCATTCATTGGCCTTCACTGTATTCGGTGTATAATAGAGATTTGTTTGGTCACAGCACTTCTCATGAACATGTCCATGTAATAACATATGTTCGGTATGTAATACAACAGTCTGTATAAACATGTAATTACACTCGTACAGTATGTAATACAACAGTCTGTATCAACATGTAATTATACATGTACAGTATGTAATACACCTGTCTGTATAAACGTGTAATGACACATGTACAGTATGTAATACGACTGTCTGTATAAACGTGTAATGACACATGTACAGTATGTAATACGACTGTCTGTATAAACGTGTAATGACACATGTACAGTATGTAATACAACAGTCTGTATCAACATGTAATTACACATGTACCGTATGTAATAGAACAATCTGTATAAACATGTAATAACACATGTACAGTATGTAATACAACTGTCTGTATAAACGTGTAATGACACATGTACAGTATGTTATACAACAGTCTGGATAAACATGTAATTACACATGTACAGTTTGTAAAACAACAGTCTGTATCACCATGTAATTACACATGTACCGTATGTAATAGAAGAATCTGTATAAACATGTAATAACACATGTACAGTATGTAATACACCTGTCTGTATAAACGTGTAATGACACATGTACAGTATGTAATACAACAGTCTGGATAAACATGTAATTACACATGTACAGTATGTAATAGAACAATCTGTATACACATGTAATTACACATGAACAGTATGTAATACAACTGTCTGTATAAACGTGTAATGACACATGTACAGTATGTTATACAACAGTCTGGATAAACATGTAATTACACATGTACAGTTTGTAAAACAACAGTCTGCATCAACATGTAATTACACATGTACCGTATGTAATACAACAATATGAATAAACATGTAGTTACACATGTACAGTATGTAATACAACAGTATTTATAAACATGTAATTACACATGTACAGTATGTAATAGAACAATCTGTATACACATGTAATTACACATGAACAGTATGTAATACAACTGTCTGTATAAACGTGTACTGACACATGTACAGTATGTAATACAACAGTCTGGATAAACATGTAATTACACATGTACAGTATGTAATACAACAGTCTGTATTAACATGTAGCTACACATGTACTGTATGTAATACAACAGTCTGTATAAACATGTATTTACACATGTACAGTATGTAATACAACAGTCTGTATCAACATGTAATTATACATGTACAGTATGTAATACAACAGTATGTATCAACATGTAATTACACATGTACCGTATGTAATACAACAATCTGAATAAACATGTAGTTACACATGTACAGTATGTAATACAACAGTCTGTATCAACATGTAATTACACATGTACCGTATGTAATACAACAATATGAATAAACATGTAGTTACACATGTACAGTATGTAATACAACAGTCTTTATAAACATGTAATTACACATGTACAGTATGTAATACAACAGTCAGTATAAACATGTAGTTACACATGTACAGTATATAATACAACAGTCAGTATAAACATGTAGTTACACATGTACAGTATGTAATACAACAGTCTGTATAAACATGTAGTTACACATGTACAGTATGTAATACAACAGTCTGTATAAACATGTAATTACACATGTACAGTATGTAATACAACAGTCTGTATAAACATGTAATTACACATGTACAGTATGTAATACAACAGTCTGTATAAACATGTAATTACACATGTACAGTATGTAATACAACAGTCTGTATAAACATGTAATTACACATGTACAGTATGTAATACAACAGTCTGTATAAACATGTAATTACACATGTACAGTATGTAATACAACAGTCTGTATAAACATGTAATTACACATGTACAGTATGTAATACAACAGTCTGTATAAACATGTAATTACACATGTACAGTATGTAATACAACAGTCTGTATAAACATGTAATTACACATGTACAGTATGTAATACAACAGTCTGTATAAACATGTAATTACACATGTACAGTATGTAATACAACAGTCTGTATAAACATGTAATTACACATGTACAGTATGTAATACAACAGTCTGTATAAACATGTAATTACACATGTACAGTATGTAATACAACAGTCTGTATAAACATGTAATTACACATGTACAGTATGTAATACAACAGTCTGTATCAACATGTAATTACACATGTACCGTATGTAATACAACAATCTGTATAAACATGTAATTACACATGTACAGTATGTAATACAACAGTCTGTATAAACGTGTAATGACACATGTACAGTATGTAATACAACAGTCTGGATAAACATGTAATTACACATGTACAGTTTGTAAAACAACAGTCTGTATCAACATGTAATTACACATGTACCGTATGTAATAGAACAATCTGAATAAACATGTAATTACACATGTAGAGTATGTAATACAACAGTCTGTATAAACATGTAATTACACATGTACAGTATGTAATACAACAGTCTGTATAAACATGTAATTACACATGTACAGTATGTAATACAACAGTCTGTATAAACATGTAATTACACATGTACAGTATGTAATACAACAGTCTGTATAAACATGTAATTACACATGTACAGTATGTAATACAACAGTCTGTATAAACATGTAATTACACATGTACAGTATGTAATACAACAGTCTGTATAAACATGTAATTACACATGTACAGTATGTAATACAACAGTCTGTATAAACATGTAATTACACATGTACAGTATGTAATACAACAGTCTGTATAAACATGTAGTTACACATGTACAGTATGTAATACAACAGTCTGTATAAACATGTAATTACACATGTACAGTATGTAATACAACAGTCTGTATAAACATGTAATTACACTTGTACAGTATGTAATACAACAGTCTGTATAAACATGTAATTACACTTGTACAGTATGTAATACAACAGTCTGTATAAACATGTAACTACTCATGTACTGTATGTAATACAACAGTCTGTATAAACGTGAATGACACATGTACAGTATGTAATACAACAGTCTGTATAAACATGTAATTACACTAGTACAGTATGTAATACAACAGTCTGTATCATCATGTAATTACACTAGTACAGTATGTAATACAACAGTCTGTATAAACATGTAATTACACTCGTACAGTATGTAATACAATAGTCTGTATAAACATGTAATTACACATGTACAGTACGTCATACAACTGTCTGTATAAACATGTTATTACACACACAGGGACCTGATCATTTGTTACAGTTATGTTTGGACCTAAACTTGAAGGTTTTAAGAGTAATTTTTCATGTTTTAGGGGTTTAGGTCGACTTTCATATGATCATTGCGGGTGTCGTTTTTACCGAAAGTCTTTCTAAACGCATGAAACATGTAAAATCACTCGTAACACCTTAGTTGAGGTTAAACCATAGCTGTAACAAATTATCAGGTCCCTTTGATTGCACATGCAAACACACATACAGTTCATACCCTGGGTTTGTTCTTTGTAAATTTGCAATTAAAGGGGGACTACTTCTACATAGAAAATGTCAAAGAAATTTGCTTCCGGTATTATTTGGGAAATTTGAAAACTACATGTCTGTTTCTTCATTTTGACTTGGAATAGTATCGGGAACATGAAGGTATATCAATTTCATGAGTTATATGCTATAGTGGTTACAATTTCAATAAAAACACACATGTTTTACTCGTATTAAAACTCGTGTAATAAACTGCGGTGATTGTACAAACGCTATGCATCACAACCAGTAAGTGTTTATGTGTAACGTTTCGGTGACTGGTACAATATACGATTGTCATCTACATCAGGCAATTTACCAGTATGTACACAAAAGGTGTAAAATATGTACGAGCTGGCAATATAAAAACTGAAGTCGTAGTTCTTTATATGTGTACAAAGTGACTAATCACACCTGTAATTCGATTCGGCTACAATTTGTTTAATACATGGTCATAGATATGCGCAGTGTATGATCCCCCTCGTCTCCGTTCAGAACTATTAACTTGAAGAAAATGTTTAGAAATAACTGTGGTGATTTTCAACTTCAATTTTACTTCACCTTTATTCTGTTCTCTTTGCTATGTACAGAAAACAAATCGGATGACAAATAATGTGATTTGTTTAAACAAACGTTTGTCATGGATATTAAGTTGCTCAGAAAAATTAACATTTTTCCAATTGATTAATTTTGAAAACTTGACAATATTTGGCATGGTATTAGGATATCTATCTAAACATGACCTCCTTCCATGGACAGAAAGGGACATTTAACGGGTAATGACATTCATCACCAAATTCTTGAGTGTCGCAATAGCACGTACATATAGGTTCAACAAGCCCTCTACAAGATTATTGTAACACTCTTGCCGAGGTCTATATTTCTATAGACCCCACTCTGTCGGGGTCTATAAAAGCACGTGCGAGGGGAAATAACTCAAACTAGAATCTCTCTTCATAACAACAAAGATGGCGTCCGACACACACAAGCGTTCGATGGGGGCCAATCAATTGATAGCAAATTCAATAAAACGGGCAATCAGGGGGTCGCTAGGGTGCTAATTACAAAGATGGTTGTGTATTGTCCGAAATTTTGCCAAAAATGTGTCCGGT